CAGCCGAATTCGTATAGTAGTTTTTTCGTGAAAGAGTAACAGATATACATACATCAATTTTCACAAACTGGCAGTTATAATATTAGTAGCAAGGATTCTCCTAGTACGTGCTATAAGCATTCAGGTTTATTACGTAGCAAATTTTATGAATCAGTTTAAATATCCTATTAAAAATTTAATTGATTACTTATACTAGATTGTAAAGTGTCTGCTTATACTATAGTTCATAAAAATACTTGAGCTTTTGATAAATAAGTTCTATACTTATATTATGAAGAGAAATTATTTGATTATTTGTTAGTTTACATTTAAAATACTGGACTGCTCCGCAAGTATTTCACCTACTTCAACTAAATGAAAGTGAGAGGCATGAGCTATAATATATGTGGGCGAAGTCGTGGGAAAAAAAAATTGTTTCCCGTACCTCAAAATAGTTGGAGGCTTGTTGCCAAGTCATGTTTAACTTGCCTGAAAGAAATTACTTTTTAACAATTACTGTCTGTCTGTTACTTCATTATGTTTTATTCGATTCGATTCCATCCATAGGGAAAGCCTGATACTCAGCAGTGGAGACAAAATTAGGCTGGTGATGGTGATGATATATAATAAAGACTCATTCATTCATTCACGATGATAATGTTATAATATAGATAGTTATTTGTAAATTTTCTAGTCCTTAAAAAGTCCTACGTTAGTGGTAGTAAAAAATATGCATTTTAGTTAAAAAGAGCTACAATCCTTTTTATCAATATTTTTACTTTGATTTGACTTAAGAGATAATTTTAGAATAGAATGAGGAATATAGGCTTTGGATAACCACGTTACTAGTGAAGACCAAAGTTGGCCGAGCAGTGGGCACGTCATCTGTTCTTTATAGCTCTGCTAGTGCAAGGGACAGAGTACAACATTATATTATAGGTAATTTTATCGGTAATAATAATAAATTTTGTTTTTCATAAGCCGCTGTTATTACTGCGTTATTGTGATATTACGAAGTGCCGCTACGTAATGTATTTTCCAAAATTCGTTTATTATTTAAAACATGCGTGGAAATTCTTTTAATCTATTCTTACGATAAAAACTATCCAAATTCCGCTGCTAGAAACATTCTATCTGTTTATCAATTTTCATTAATATTGGTTTCATAGTTTGTGGTGTAAAACGAAACAAACACACATATATAGTTAATTTTGCACTTATAACATTGGTATGAAATTCGTTTCCAGAAAAATGAGTAGGTCTAAATAGGATACTCATAAAAATTTGTCGCACACAGCTGGACTTAATATTTTATGTAATCAATATTTTTCATATGTAAAGTAATAAATAAATATGCTTGTGTTCCATTAATACATGGAATATCTTTTGTGTGAAACATATGGGCGCGGTTTGGCAACGAGTTGCCTGTAAATTTTAATTGCGCTCCTACTAACAATGGTGTATTTTTACTGTGTCTGGACGTAATAAATCATTTCGAGTGGGCGGTTTTTTTTTATTACATTTTACTTATTTTTATCGTCTAATATGTAATACATCTTGTTAATTTTGTTTTATTTCGTTAATGTCTACAAATATTGGCTATAGTATCCAACATTTATCTCTTTTTGTATTTTCTTAAGATTTGCGAACCGATGGCATAGATTTTGATACGCACAAGTGCTTGTTTATAATCTTGACTGAACTGATATTGAATTTGAATAACGTATTCTTACTTTGGACTTTTATATATTTGTCGTCAATTAGGTAAAACTTTTAAACCTTATGTAAATTTTTGCTAGACCTAACTTTTACATACGATGAATTTTTTCTTACATATTAGTTAAAACATACTAGTATCTTCACATGTATTAATAAATATATCACACTATAACAAAAAAAGAAAGCATTACTGACCTTGATGCTTTTAATTAAATGTATAAGTTTCAGCATGTCAGGTTACTATTCGTTTATATGTCTTAATTTGTTGCCTTAATCTTTAAAGTCAAAATTGATTACCGTTATGTGCCTATATTTAATTTATAATTTACTGTTCCATGCAGAAAGGACTCAAAAACATTTGTAATGTATTCGTTTTTTTTTTCTAAAGAATTTATATACCGAAATAAGTGTAATGGTATAATTATTTTAGTAATTGAATTCGGTCTCCTCGTCTAAGGGATTTAATTTCGCGTGACATTATTCACGTTGCCTATGCCCCGGCAAGTTTTTCTGTTCCCGAATATCGCACGAAGGAGTTTATGATAGATGGCTGATCCATTTTTCATTGCGTTTGCATTGCGAGTGAACGTGACTCTGTTTTGGTTGAGTATTAGTTTTAAGGTCAGGTTTTAGGTGCTCACTCGCATACTATTTCGTATCAATAGGGTATATACATCATATTTGTAGATCACTAAAACATAAATAAAATTATAGTTCATTATTGACACAAAAATATTTTTTAACAAGTCAAGTAATCTATTCGCACGTGTACAATATGCGTAATCCACTATAGATTTGGAGTGGGGACGTTTCCTGTGGCGCTTAGGACTTGCTAGACTTTCAAATACTAGTTTATGTTTGCCCTGTCTAGTCAACATTTAAAAAATATATTCTATTTTTTCTTGTAATTCTATTTAAACTTGATTTACTATAAAATTAGTCTTACAAACGTCGATAAGGAAGACCGTGCATATATTCTATTTTGATACACCTAAGGTGTAATACAAGTCGTACAATCGTTATAAAAACTCATTAAGAGTAATTTTTGCGATGTATTAAAGTTAATTTACTGTTTTCATTGACTGCTTGATTGTATGATAAAATTAGTTAAAATTTTTGCGCAATTATTATCATTCATAAGAGGCTAATATAAAATTTGTCTAAAAGTCAAATTTAGTAAAACCTCGCCTTAACTATAGTTTCCTGTGCAATAGTGTATTATTTGCTAGTTTTTTTTTAAATAGTAACAGTTTTCATGAATTATTCAATTTTATGTTTCACTTAAATTTTTTATTACCAACATTTTATGTTTAAAAAGATTTTTTTAAATATCTGAGCTATAATATCCAAAGTCACTGAAACGTGGCTGCGTTCAACTTAACTAATGCTGAATTTTGTGACGTCACATAAAATTCATCCACCTAGAATTTGCCGATAAGAGCTTGCGATGAAAATGATCGTTTGGAGAAGCTAGGGGTTTGAACCCTGACGTCGCAGTTTTTTATAATGTATTTATAATTTATAAACCTTTATTTTGTTGTACGTTTTTTTTGTAATAGAATTTAGTTTAATGGTAACACCAAAACTTATAATCTAACAGCAAATTAGCTTATTGGATTAGAATAATTGATAAAAGGCTTATAGCAATCCTTGTAAAGAATCTGAGCTATTCATATATTAATATGTATGTATTGTATTTTGTATGTAGTTTGATTTATATATATATGCAATTCTATTTCGATTTTCGTACTGTGTATGTATCTATATTGAAGATATTTAGTTTTGTGTTGCACCGCCTTATTAAAATCTCTATTTTATTTGACTGTACTGGACCGCCAACTTTACGCTGTAACAGTGTTACGCTGTAACAATAAATAAACAAGTTTTAGCGTTGAAATAAATTTACGCTGAGACTGCACTTAGTATTAGTCAAAATTCATATTATTAAACAGAGACTTAGCAAAGGCTAACCTAGTACGAGGTTCTGCGGGAGTAATTTTTACTCCTAGAGGGTTTGTTTATTCTGTGTATAATATGAATTTGGACTAATACCAAAATTGGTATTTTAGGGTAAATTTACTCTGACCCTAAACCTTATTTATAATGGCACTGTAACTGTGTAACAAAGTTTAAATAAATAAATGTTAGATAACATGCAGATTGATTAATCGTATCTGCCTAGCTAAATCATAAACCAATTCTGTTAAATAATAAAATTATAACTTCTCTGATTTACTTATTACACTGGTCAACAGTGGTAATATTTTTCTAACTTAGGACCTTATATTAATTATATTTATAGGAAAAATATTGATTTTATACGTGTAGTTTTTTAAATATTTATTTTTAAAAAATAAATAATATTTACGATCAAAACAGCATTTATTATATTGTTAGGTACACAAAAACTTATTTTTTGGGACTTTCGTCATTAACGCGTAGTAGGACAATTACGTTGCATCCCCCAGCAGTGCTCAGCCATCATATGCTGATCCCATTGACCTTGGTACCATTGATTTTGAGGTCCTGGCGAAACCGCTTGTTCTTCGCTATAGGATCCAAGATTCTCTGGGAATCAAGATGATTGTAAAGATAGTGCACTTTGATGGTAATTTAACATCCTAAATTTTGGAAATTCTCTAGCATGTTATTAACAATTTCAGGGTAGTTACTTGATTTGTGATTACCCAGAAAGTTCTTAGTAACTTTCAAATACGAAGTCCACGTAAGTAGTTCCAAACTGTTTATTGAACTTACGAAATCAATATCTTTTAATAATAGTCTTATTTATGGGCCATCGAAATACCCGCTTATATATTTTCTTTGCTCAGATTAGGGAATTTTTTCGTTATATGACAAAAACATTGCCCATTTTTATCTAACGCCTTTAAAAACTATTTTATTGAACCTACTTCAATTTGTATGGGGGAAATATAATTTTATCTCTTGTAACCGAAGGTGGATTTATTACATTCTCCTTTCCCACCTGCAAAATCTCACATATAGGCCAATTTCTTTTGTCCAGTGTTGATGCTTGGTACGTCTATCCCACAGACAATAAAAACATGGGTAATTATATTTATTTATAGTTATGTAACATGGGTATAACTTTATTTTCTTCAGAACAAGTGAAATATTCTGATATTCTTCCTTTAATTTTGTTGAATGAGCAATTCGAACTAAAACATATTGGTTGCCATTGTGTAAAAAGACATATTTAAGGATTCGTTTAGAGCTATCTATGAAGAGATGCCAATCATCTGGTATTCTGAAAGACCCATTTTAAGAAGAAGGGCTTGCAATTAAAAAATAGTAGCCAGTTTTGCTCTCTTGTACGATAAAACGTCACTTTCGTACCTGACGCCAACAAGTTTTTTTTCTTTTAATCTAGAAGCCAAAACCCCTCCAGATTCTTTAGATAGTCCAAGATCCCTTATTAAATCATTTAATTCTTTTTGGGTAAAAAGTTTTGGTTCTGAAGACGCTATCTCTTCAATATCACTATCGCTAGACACTTTAGTAATTTCTTCACACGATGGTTCGCGGGTAGAACGATATGTTGGAACAGGTACTTCCTCTGAATGTAGTAACGGTCTTCTAGCTGAATGTAAGTCTGGAAAAATTATCTTTTTTCACATTAACTCCACGCAAATAAATACAACAGAAATAACAGTCATCGAAGTGATTTTTTGGTTCTCTCCATTGCATAGGCACTCCGAACCTCATACGACTTCTTTTACCTTTGACCCACTGTCTCAAGTGTTCATAGCACATTTTGCAAACAATTTGAGGTATCCCCGGCTTGTTTTCATTTGCAATTTTGAAATTAAGAAAACTAGGCACTTTTTTCAAAATCTGTTATAGGCTTTCTGATTTTTTTTACTGTATATTCCCCTCCCCATAAATGTAACAAAACAAATTTGGCTCATTGAGACAACTTCTTCGAGATGAAGATATTAAAATCAATTTATTTATAGAAATGTGCTGATACGATTTTAAACCGAGCTCACAATGTACTAATTACAGAAAAAAGAAACTAAGATTAGACACATAATTATACGAAGAAAAAAAGTTATATTTTTAGTGTTGCCAATGCATAAATAATACAAAACTATAGACGATATCGCGGCACCAAATTTTTTATATTTGATTACCTGTGTTGTTTATTAATAGGTATGAATATCGTTATTAATTAGTTTATTTCCCTTTCTTAATATTAATTTTTAAATAGTAACATGGGTCTGGGTGTAGAGTAAGTTCAGAGGTTAGGTTAGGAGATTACTCCTGTAACGATACAACTGATGTCATTATTAATTTAATTGCTGTTCTGAAGTCTTACATTTTAATTGAATCAAACAAGTTTAAAACTTATTTATTGCGATAGAGAACTTTTAATTAACTGAAGGGAAATACTTTAAACGTCTCGCCTGGACAATTTATAAGTTTGAACGATTGTACACCGGGGGGGTCGAACCAATTTGCTTGAGTGCTCAATCACCGATTGGACTTAAAAACGAATCGGTTTCAGTCATAAATTAGAAAACACGGAAGTTCTTTGTATACAATAAATTAAATAATTAGCTTATAAATTTTGCATTCACAATGCTATTTCCTTGTTTATGTTTTTTGTGATAGAGTCGAAGTTCCTAAATGCATTTGTTTCATTTATAGGGAAAGATATAAATGAAAGTTTAATTCGATATCTGTTTTGCTATCTTCATCCCTTAAAAGATAAGATTAGTCCCTTAATCCTTATTAAAAATTGTCACCACTATACCTAAACTCGGGACAATATAGAAAAGTCAATTTTCTCCGTTGACTCGACCGCGAATCGAATCCGGGACGTAAGATATGTTGTCACATTGAAACAGTACATGTGAAGATAATGACATGTTTCGCCATTTGGCATGCAAAATTATTGTAATAGAATAGAATAGGTTTTTATTTGACAACACACATCACATACACAATTTACATAAAGTTTATAAATATGACAGAAAAATGATAAAAATAACAACAAAAAGGAAAAACAAAACATAATGAAGACACTGAAATAATAATTAATGTGTCATGGTGTGCGCTTACTGCACTAATATTCTGCAAAAGCCAGCAGTGACAACATGGACTATTTTACGACAAAAAAATAAAATATAAAGACATAACGTGTAATAGCCAAAAAGATGGTAACGGCACATGTAATAGCCAGTGACAGGGTAACAAGTTGAAGCGTCGATTCCAAGTCAACAAGGTTATAAGCATTTACATTGTTCAATACATATTTTACCTTAAAAATGTATGTAATGTACTATGTTATTAAAAAATCATCTGTGAAAAGACGGTTATTATAGTTTAGTTTCCATACTTTGTTTACCGTTAATTCTAACCACTCGAGGGGCTAGAATTTTAGACATCACGAGTTATATATATCTCTCAGGGCAGCAGTTACTCACAGTTGGGAACAGTTCTGCGCAACAACTTTAAACGTTCCTGTTCCGCTGAAGTCTACGTTGTTCCTTAGTCTAGGAAAAGACAATATATCTAGTCAGCGCATAGTTTGACCTGCACCGATTTTAGGATGAATCTTAAAGTGGTATTTTAAAAATGTGTTCCTATTAAACAGGGGTGTGACACCGTGTAGACTAGTTTAAGGGTTAAGTAGCCAGAGTAAAAAAGGGGATCCTGTTACTGACTCAGCTGTCGGTCTGTCTCTCTGTCTGTTTGTCCGTCTGTTACCAGGCTGAATCTCATTTAAATTTTCACAGACTGTTGCAACACAACAACAAAAACTAAAAAGGTCTCCCATAACAAAGGGATTTTTTGCTGGATTCTGGCATGGAACCTTTCGTGCGGTAATCCGACTCACACTTGGCCGATTCTTGTCATTTCAGTCTGTTCATTTCATAGTTATAGTGGCAATCAAACTAATACTAAATCCGCCAGTAGTGTAACAGTGCGTCGTACCACCCTTTATTTCGGCCTAGGTACCCGCATGCAAACTTTTTGTTTTTGATCTTCAACGTCATTAATTTTTACTATTCACTTTTCGTAGAGTTATTCGTATATCCAATTCGCTCTTTTAAAACATTATACGTCTTAATTTCAATCAATAGCAATTTTTTGTTAAAATCTATTTATTATTAGCTGTTTCCGTTATGCTCACGAGTTTGCACTCAGGCAAAATGTAAACTAAATAAAATAAAATAAAATTACTCACCAAACCCGAAGAAAAGGCTTTTTTTTTGTTTACCCTTTATTAAATCAAGTTCTCAAACCTGGTCAGCCTTTTAATCATTTGCCTAAGCATCGAACCTGTTGCAGTAGTACATCGTAATCCATGGTTTGTTGTTTCACATTTGATGATTAGTTAAGGTTCATATGGCAATTATTTAAGTCCATGCTAAATAGAAAAGAAACGATAGTATAGCAAGCAGTAGCCATTAACTCCTCTGACATAACAAAAAGGAAAGATTTTGATTTTGTTAGATAAACAAAATTTTCATAATAAATAGGCACGGGCAAACATGCGGGGCTCAGTTAACTTTAAAGGTAGGTTTGCTCTCCATCATCTTGCGGAAATCAATTTCTACGTTTGAATAGAGCCAGCCAATATAACTTGTGGGTCTTTGTATCATATTTCGAGCCTGCGTGTTTGATCTTCAAAGAGGGTTTAAAAGTTTCATTGGTCCGCGGTGAAAGTTTGTAATGTAATATGTATGACGCACCCAATTATCTGTTGGACTACTGCTTTGTGAAGATTCTCGAGTCTTAATTGGTAATATAATATTCAGTGACATGCTGCTTTAAATGTGCTTTAACTTGGTTAATATGGACTGCAAAATTATCTTTATTGTCTTTAGATTGGGTTATGTTTGAATATCTTTCAACGAATTAAGTACTTCAAGAAGTATATGACTCTATAAAAAAATAAGTTCAAAAACTAATAATCGCCTACAGCTAAATCATGCTCTAAAAAGTTTAAAACAAGATTTTTTTAATAAACATATGCCACAACAGTTTGTTTTTTTATGGTCAGTGGCATACGACTACGCCGTCCTTTGGTCATCGCTATTATAATATAGCTATCTCTATTTAGTAAATTTCTGGTTATAAGCTTTTATTATTTGAACTTATTTTATAATTTAATTAATTTTCGTGTATATTCAAGCAAAATTACAAGCAAAAGCTATCAATATATGTATTCATATATATTTGAAATATGCTAATTATGCCCTTTCATTTGCTACCCGATATATAAAATTTTTTAATAATATATTTTTTTAGTTTCTTATGCTCTCTAGAGGGCGCTGTTGCCAATTTAATTTAACGTCATATAAGCTATAGGACAAATAAGACGCTTCTAATGATACCTCATTTATCCAGTTACGATTAGTAGTTTCGAAATTATAATTGAATGGATTAAAATTCTTACATACATACCGTCCAAAATCATAATCCTCCTTTTCGCTTGGTCGCCATAGTTGGGTAAAAAGATGCATAGAGCAAATTCACTGACATTTGTAACTCTATCTCGCTATCTCCCCAGTGGTGTGTTTACGGAGAAGGCTGTATCAACACGAGGTGTATATTTCGACTCGTACAGTTTATCTAGTTGCTGCAGGTTTTACTAACTGCATAACAATATAGAATGCGCGTTTGTTTTGACAGAGACATAAGGATACTCTGTAGAATAGAGACATAAGAATACTAATCTTATCGTAACAATTGTTTTTTTATTTAGTTTTATTCTATTTTCTTATTTTGTGTTTCTTCTGAGTGTTCCGCTTGTGAGGTCAATAAAATTGCTTTCTTTTTTCCTTCTTCTAATATAAAGTTTCCCGCCGTAGTTTTGCGGACCGATGGCGTAGATAGCGTACTTTCACAAGTGCTCTGTAAAAGCCTCAACTGAATAAGCAATTTTGGTTTTGAATAGCTTGTAGGATGAGCACTGTAAAATATAAACTAATCTATAAATGGTTTAATGGTAATAAATAATAAATCACAGTAAATATGTGTAGGAAACAGAGGAACCAACAGGTGACAATAACTGTAACTAAGAGCAATGAAAAAATGGACAAGAACAAATAATAAAAATGAGGCAAAAAAATAAAATGATTGTGTCCTTCCAGCCAGTTGCCAACAGATGATATTTTGGATTTAATAGGCATTTTCCTCTAAAGCAGAGTGACTTGCACGCCAGTTTCAAAATATTACTATATTTGAGATACAGAGTATATACCTACATATATACTTATATTCCCTGTCAGGTGAATATAGAACAATTTTTCATTAATATTTTCTTTTTCTATTTTGTTTTAGGTCTGTATGTTATATTATTACCTTCGTTCCTTCGGATTTCAATAATAGAAGTACCAAAAATTATATTTGTAGGATCTGAGCAATGTATATAATTTTGTCTCTAGTCGCAGCTGCTCTGTGTAAGCCCCAATGGAGTCATACGTCAGCATGCCCCAACATTTGCAGGTCTCGATAAATCAATCCGAGTGCTAACCTCAACAATGAAAACGTACTATGATCATACTAGCAGGAGGATAGATAAAGGAGCAAGGGACCTTTGATATATTCAGTTCAGCAGGTCTATCTGAGAAGAACTGGTGAAATAACCTCAGATAAGAAAGCTGTATAGCTATATTCCTCAAATAATATCTTTTCGCATTTTGTTCAGTCTCTAAATTTTTTTAGTTGTTTTCTTACCTTCCGAAGCACGAACTAGCTCGAGATAAAATACAAGATTGATATTCTTCTTAAATCTACCT